TTTGAAGATAATACAAATTATGAAAAACATTATTAATTAAAGCACCTTTATAGTTTTTAGTATCAATTTTATTAGATTTAATATTTAAGTACTGTGATTTATGAAAAGTACTACTAAATGAAGCATCTTTATAGTCTTTAATATTACTTTTATCAAACATATATTAAAATATTTCTTTTATTAAATAAAATATATTAACTGTTAAAAAAATTATATTTTTATCAAATTAAGTTTATTCAAACTTAACTTTGATTGAGATAACATTAATATGTTTTTATTCTAAATAAAAATAATTATTTAATAATTATAACATAATACTAAATATGATGCATCTGTAATATTTTAAAATTTAGTAAAAGTATTAAATAATTTTACTATTAATTATTAATATTAATTAAATAATAATAAAAATATTTAAGTTTCTTTACTAAATTTCAAAATACCACAAGTATATCATAATACTTATTTTAACTTATATAGTATTCAAACATTAATATTTATAATTTTTTGATTAAAATTAATTAATTTTTGTATTATTTAATTTAATTTGATTAAACAAATTAAATAATATACTAATAATTTGATTTAAATAAAAAAACAACTAATTTACTTTATAATCTGTTAAAGAATTATAATTAGAATTATATTTTAGAAGATTCTAAATATTATTATCAAACTACTTATTTATAATTTAATTTGTAATATTTTAAATATATAAATAATTTTGCAATATATATATATTGTATTAAGATATAAGCTTTTAAAAATTTCTAATTATAATGTTTATACTCCTTAACATATTTTTTAAAAAAATAAATAAGATAGATACAGAAAAAGAAAATATAAAAAGAATTAAAATAAGATAAAATATATGAAAAAAATAGTAAAAAAGAAAAAAAAATAGTTATTAAGAAATATTGATTATTAAGATTAAAAATAAAAAAAAAATATAAAATATAAAATAAATAAAAACAATTTTATTAATTTATATTAAATATTATTGATTTTGAATAATTTTTTTTTTTGCTAAGGCCTTTAGTTCTTAGTAGCTATTGCCTTTATTGTAATTTAATTATAATTATATAACTTGTACAAAATGAATGTGTAATTAACTACATATACAGCTTTTGGTTATCTATTTAAGTAGTTTGTCTACAGGTTCTATACTAGTTATTATATCTGTAATCTGTTAAAAGATTATCTAATTAATACTTTGATTTCTATATTATACTTAACAGATAGCATACAAGTTCCTGTATATTTAAGTGTTATCTAATCTAACTCTAATCTTTTTGTTTGTATATCTATTAAGTTATTATATATTTCAAAGTATGTCACCTAACTGTAAAGCTTCAGAAGACCTTTTTGCTAACTAACTATCTATTTTTAATTCTTGTTAATAAGACTTATCTTTGTAAAGTTCATTCAGACTCTATATAGTATTATTTTATAATATATTCTTAGTACTTATAATATATTTTTACTCTTGATATCAGATTTTTAATTTAAATAATCTAAAAGGACTATAATCTGTTTTTGGTATACTAAGATTATGATATCTGATATTTTTTTTCTCTGGTTTAAGACTTCCAATAATTTGATTAGTAATATTCCTTATCTGAAGTTCTTGCTTATTTAATTACTTTATATTAATATCTGTTTTTTAGATCTAATTTTTATAATAATATTATCAAAAATCTGGACTATTTCTCTATTCAGGTTTTTTTCAAATAGACTTCTTGTTTTCTAATTTTAATAAATTTATATAGTAATAAAAACTTATCTAGTATTTGTACTGCTAATACTAACTTAGATTTTTTTGTATAATATATTATACTAATACCTTATAACCTGTTAGTTATATTAGTATAACTATTATTACAAATATCTTAATCTAATTATTAAAAACAATTATTATAATACAAATATTATATAGATGATTATTCAAATCTATTATTAATAAAATTTGAACATCCAATCTACTACTTGAAAGATTAACAACTTATCTACTTCACTAAGTTGTCATATCTATTAAATAATTTCTTTATTTTATTAAAAACAATAAAATTATTACAACTGTTATTTTTATATTATAACAAATTTTATATAATTTATATATATTCTAGTAAATATTATTGATATACAAATATATAATAAGATGTGACAACTTAGTAAAATAATTAGGTTGTTAATCTTTTAAATAATAAGTTGGGTGTTTAAATTCTATAAACAATAAAAATTTGGATAATCACCTATATAATATTCATATTATAATAACTGTTACTAATGATTAAGTTAAGATATCTGTAATGATGATCACATCAGTATGACTAGCAGGTTATGAAGCATCTGTATAAGTATGTTATTATACAAAGAAATGCAAACCAATAAATCAGACAGTACAAATACTAGATAAGTTCATGTGATTATATAAATTTGGTAAAATTAAATAATAAGAAGTCTATTTGAAAAGATCTAAATAAAGAAATAGTCAGCTCTTTAATAGTGCTATTATAAAGACTAGTTTAAGAAAATGGATACCAAGGTTGTAGTATCCAATCATAATATCCAGATAGACAAAACTTCTAGGTTAGAAAAAACTTGAAGATATTATCAATCAGGCTATTATAATAAACTAAAAAAAAAAGATATTAGGCTAACCTAATATACAGATAGATCAATTATAATCCTATATGAATTATCTAAATTGGGAATTTGATAAAAGACAGATGAAAAAACAAAAGTATATTAAAGTATTAAAATTATGCTATGAAATAAATGCTAAGATCAATGTGAACTATACAAGAATATAACATTTTAATAATTAAGTTCTGATTACAAATGTTGGTTTTATTATATATAATGATATTTAGATCAGTTGTAAAAATAGATACAGAAGACTTTGAAAGGTTTATTTTGAAAATAAAATAGTTCTAAAATTGAGATGATAATTTGAGTATCTGAAATAACCTAGTAATATTAATACAGATTACAGGTTTAAAAGATTTAAAGTAAAATACCTAAGTAGGAGTATTAGATACAACAATTAGTAAGAAACCTTCAGGTGGATTTCTTAAATAGGTAATATAGAAAAGTTACACATGTAACCAATTGTATACTCTCCTGTAATGGTTTATAGAATTACATTACCAAAAAAATTATTAAAAATCAAAAGACCAAAAAGGTCATCTTAATACCAATATATATATATATATATATATATATATATAATAAATTTTAACAAATTGGAATAACAATTAGAAATAACAATTACTTATTTTATAAAAAATTATCATGTTGGTGTTAAAAAATACAACAGGTCTGATTAATAGAATCCATTATTCATAATTCTGGTTAAACTTGCAGATCATTTAACTACATTTAAAGTCATTTTGTTTTAAATCTGACCAAATGACCAGGGATAGTATACACAACTTAAGCAGAAATTAGACTGATTGGCTGATGCAAATCAATTACTCAGACAAATTAATAAACATTATCTTTAGCTTCAAAGAGATGCTAGAAAGCTAACCTTAAAAATAATCTCTAATGATCTCTAAGAAGGATTGGCTTAACAATGACGTTTTGAACTAGATAAAGAAAAACCCTGTTTAGTAGTTTTGCAATTTGATTGGTCAGTAATCAACAAAAATTAACCAATCAGACGAATTTCTGTCTATAAAATACGGCCGTATTGCCATGTAGTGTGCCGAGGGTAGCTACCCTTCAAGATTACATCTCTAGTGGTTACACATCATCACGGTTTATGATGGTATATACAAACAAAATGGGGCAATAAATGTTTCTCGATGGCAAACCCTACATATGTTAAAAATACAAAATAGGAAAGCCCAAAAAATCCTTAGATTTATTAGAAGAGACTAGAGGTCTGATCCATCGAATAATTATCTGGATATTTGATGAATATTCGGATGTTCGAATATAAGATTATTTCATCAAATTAAATAACTAATATATTTTTTATTCGCCGATTAATTCAGTGATATTCGGTGATACAAAATAATAAAATTACTGTACAGCGTGAACTAAAATATCCAGGGTACTTTACAATTTAAGCTGTATATATGGGTATTATAGTCTAAGGGATACTATGGTCAGCGTAGGGGGTATAAGTTGTAATATATGAGTACTACAGTAATATTTATATACTAAGTGCATCTTTAGTACCCAGGTATTTTACATTCCCGAATGCAATTAATCAGTCCTTAGTACCCGGGGTACTATACATTCTAGGCTTTCAAAAATTGAGAGAGTATTATAAAAGAGGGTCTTTTAGTCCACGCTGTACGGTAAATTTTGTAAATTAAAAAATAATAATGCAACTTTAATCATTTGAGTACTAGGGTTATTTAAGTAGACTTAGGATGCGGTTAGCTCATAATCGTAACAGAGCATAACTATAATTATATTTTGATAACGAAACGAATAAGCAAATTAAAAAGTAATCAAAGTTTGCACAAACATTATTCTCTGTATAATTAACTAATAAACATGACGATACTCATTTACTATAATCAATCGAAATAAGAATTGTCATTATAAGGTCACTTGTGCAATCTTTTGAAATACTCAATTTATTGTAAATTTTACCATACCTGCAATATTTATAAGTTGAAATAATAAACTTTTGTATCATTTTTTTTACTAATAATAGACTTTATTAAACTACGATGTTTATTTAAATATTAATTATGATAATAAACACATTTGACCTCTTAGAATATTTTCTGCTAAGTAAGACGTTTGAGAATGTTCTTAATTTGATGAAATAATCTTATATTTGAACATGCAAATTCGGATAATTATTCAACAGATAAGACCTCTAGTTATGAATTCTGTAGTCTAGTCGAAATATGAAGTATATATCAAATATTATCGAATAAATCGGATATTTATTCACTAGTTTTTTGACCAGATCAGATATTTATTTGTAACCTCTTTAAAAACTTCTGGATGTTTTTTCCGAGTACCATCATGTTCTAATGCCTTTGTATACTTTCAGTTTGATTCTATTAAAGTTTACACAAATTCTTTTACACATTTTCCGAAACATTGGTAAGTTTAAAAGTATCATTTCATCACGCAGGTTTCAAGATTACTTTTTTCATGAAGCGAGAAAGACGGTTTACTAAATCTGAATCCTGATCAATTATCTGGTTGGCGAATAAATCACTCAATTCAAGATCAGAAGCTGTATACTCCTTAGATCTAAAGTCAATTCTCAAAAGAGTAATAACGAATCTCTCTAGATAAATATTAGTATGAATTTATTATTTGATTATTAGTAAAACTAAAAAGGCCAAAATTACCCAATAGCTTTAACTTTATCTTCTGAAGGTTGGCATCAATTTGTTTAAAAGTGAGAAGTTTTTTGTTACTTTTAATGCTCCAATGTTAAGTAAACTATGAACTCTTCATATGCTATCTCAAACTAATAAAAATAGATTAGATTATAGCTGCAGATCAGTTTATTGAGATTCGTTATGTCGAGGTTATACTGTAGTGAAAATTTTATCTTTTTAAAAATATAATTAAAATAATTATTATGTTACTAACCTTGTACATATTTAAATATATTTAAATAATGATAAAAATCAGTGATTAATAACATTACTAAGAATCGGAACTAATATAAGTCTGGAACATAAAAAAGAATTAATAGCAAGAGTATTTATATTAGTTATATTATAAAATTTAGATAAAAGTCAAATAAATTGTGAACGGATGAACAGAAAGTTCGAAATTATATTTTTGATGTTTTACTATAAAATACGTCAAAATGTAACTTTTGTATCACTAGGCATAGAATTTGAGTTCTTCACTTCGAACAATTATTTATAATATAACGTATTGTGAAATAAAAACTTATATTCACTTTTAAACTTTTGATATATATTTAAGTTTACTAAAAGCTTGCATTAAAACAAATAAGTACTTTATTTTAATAATTAAAATAAAATTATTTACAGTATTTTACTTATAAATAACTTTATATTAATAGTTAATCAAATTTTATTTATAACGATAATTAATATAAATCTTTATTTATAATAATATTTATATATAAAAATTTGTTATAACATAAAATTTTATTTATAATAATAAACAAATAACTTAATTTATAATAATATTTAAAAGTATAACTTTATTTATAACAATATTTAAACATATAATTTTATTTATAACAATTTAAACATATAACTTTATTTATAACAATATAGCAATATTATTTAGCATATACAAATTTATAAAATTAACATAATAAAAATATTATACCTTTTATAACTTCCAAACGATCCAATTTTTTAAACCGTTATTAAATAAACAACAAGCCTACAACCCAGTAAAAAAAAAAAAATAAAAAAAATAATGTGAGTAATTGAAAAAACCTAAATGTCCCAGAAGGTTGCATGTCAACACGCGATAGTAGTTCTCAGATGACCATGTTATTCACCTAAAATTACTACCGTCAAAGGTGTAACCTGGAAGCCCAGGAGCAGTTACCAAAAGGGTGTTAAATTAATATATTAACGTAAGAACAATTACTCATCTCTTACACTTTTTCAACTCAACAACAAATTCAGCAAACAACATTACACATAACAAAAATTAAAATATAAAAGGTATATAATTAAATTATTAAAAAAACGGATAAAATATAAAAATATATAAATTCGAAAAAAGAATAATATAAAGAATATAAAATTCGATATAAAAAAGTAATAAAGGCAGATAAGAAGAAAAAGCGGTCCTTATATACTTTTTTTTATCGACACGTCCGTTGTTTTGTGATCGCGATTTTGCAAACCAAAAACACGAAATAAACACGATGAAATACGATATAAATTAGAAAAAATGATAAACGCGATATAAATTAGGCAATCATCAATGAACGTGGTACAAATTAGGTAATTACTACAAAAATTTTCCCAGGCATATGACTCATCAATGATCTTATGATAAAACGAACTGTAATATAATTGGTTAACATTCGCGTGTCAGTTTAGTAACGAAGCTGAGTACCGTAAAACCTATAGGAGAACTTTCGTTTGAACGAGACCCGGGTCACGATCCGGAAGATCCGGGTATATTTCTTGTTAGATATATACTATATTTATATTGAATCATTATTTAAACTATATATTATTAAATGCTAATATTAAATTATGTAAAGTACTCGTGATTATTGTCATAGGCCATTTGGTCATAACGAAGATTGATATGACTTAT